ACGAAACCCAACAACGATATACTTTTCGTCTTCTTTGAGTACTTTGATTGCACGGAGAACATCGTGAGGATTTGAATTTGTATAGTGACATGGAAAATCAAACCATTTTCCATACCTTTTGCGTTAGTTGTCGTCGACGAAGTGCACGAAGGAATCGTGAGAAGATCGTAGAATTCATTCTTGTGACTTCGGAAGAAGGAACTTTGTTTGACATTGATCGGAGAAGTTTAGTTTGTTTTGTCTCTCAACGATGATAGCGAGAGCAACATTCTGAAAGGCATTCAGAACTGGAGTTGCTAACAGATCTGAGGGAGACATCATGAATCATGTTTTGGTGCTTGAAATGTTTCAACGTTTTTCAAACACTCAAACTTATTTAAACAAACGGAAACTGCTGGCTTGCCAGTAAGTGTTTATGATGAAAGCGATTGAAACCTAGGTTTCCCTTGGCAAAGTTGTTAAGGCCATCATGTTTGGGTCTCTTGCGTAACTTCTTTACGCGTGTTAGGTTCGTAGGTTATGCCGCCTCTACGCAACCTCAACCTCTATGCAACAAACCAACAGTGAACAGAACCTGTTCTGAGTGTGATGCCAACGCGTTATGTCGATGCTGAATTTATGAATATGTTAATGGTTATATGTGACATCTTGACGATTATGTTTACATGCACTTATATACAAAACTATATGCAAATAGTTTGTATATTCGTGCTACTCTTTTTATTTGCATGCAGTGATGTCATTCACGGAAATGTTTGTCTCATGTGGCATTTTACATGTCAGAGGAGGGTGGGTGGGAATTGCTCATTCCCGATTTTGTGATGTGTTTTTAGATGCACCGCCGTGGGTCACCTATCCATCGTGGACAGACAGCTATTTCTGGCTGCATCGTGCTGGGCACTCAGACTGGCATTCAATCCAACATCAATTTTTGCACCAAGATCCTCCTTTTCATCTCTGGATTTTTGACTGCTTGTGGGGCGATTCTTTTATTGTTGTGGCCGCATTTTGATGAGTGATTCAGAAGGGTCCTCAGACACGACTCACGAGTCGATCTTGCACAACCTAGTGCAACATCATCTGAACCTGCACCGCGAAGTTGCTGCGCTGCGGCGTGACATTCAGGACCTTCAGGGCCAACTACAGGCCATTCAAGCCTCACTGCAGTTGCTTTTGACTGGAGGATTGACTTTTTCAGGTGACCATGGCCATGTCGAAACACCCCAGGCTGAAGCAGACCGGGGAACTACCGGGCAATGAGCATATTGTTTTCCATACACGACATGCATGGAACATGCTGCACTCCACATCTATGAAGCAACCTTGGGAGTTAGCCTTACCTGCAGTCCACAAGGACGTTTTGGAACCTTTCAGGAAAAGATTCAAGGTGAGCGGAAGCCTTGGTATATGCAACGGCCCTGCTAGAGACCATGAGTGTGACAACCTTGCAGTGAAATACAACAGTTTTGCAGATGCAGGTTTGAAGCTCAAGAAGAAAACTGATGAACACATTTGGGAACAACAAATTTCATTTGAACGTAAGGCTGCATACAAGAAGTGGACTGCACTGATTTTGGAACATCCAGGTGCATGGGCTGTATCGCGACCAAAGCCTGGACAGGATCTCATGAGTTTTCTCAGCAGTGGCGTTGGGGACTCCATCAAGGACTGCTTGGGAGTGAAGGCGACTGGAACACTCCACAACAGGGTGAACCCCATGATACGTTTTGCTCAGTATGCCAAAGATGCCGGACATGAGCCTTTTCCCATTTGTGAGCAGGTTGCATACCAGTTTTTGGAGAATGTTGATTCAGCACCTTCATTCCCGCGGTCTTTCATCACATCGGTGGCATTCTCGAAGCACGTGCTGGGACTGATGAATGCTGATGACATTTTGCAGTCGCCTCGAATCAAAGGTTTTGCGTCCCTGCACTACACCAAGAAGAGGAAGCTCATCCAGAGACCGCCGCTGACTGTGGCACAGATCTCATTTCTGGAGCAATGCGTGAACGAGACGGGACGAACTGTGTACGACCGTGTGGCGGCTGGATTCTTTTTGGTTTTGACTTATGGACGTCTGAGATTCTCCGATGCCATGTCAATTTCATCAATGGAGTTGGAAATTCCTATGGGCTCCGAACATGGCTACTTGGAGTGCGCAGCTGAGAGATGTAAGACAGGCACTTCACTGGAAAAACGAACACGTTTGCTGCCTGTCGTCATCACTACAAGGAGCTTCACTGAACAAGGCTGGATTCAGGCCTGGCTCGAGGTGAGGCACAAGGCCAAATTGGAGACTGGGCCAGGCATTCCACTTTTGCCCAACCCTGCATCAGGTGGGGGCTGGACTAAAATTCCAGTCACATGTGAAGTTGCTGGAGATTGGCTGCGAGCTCTCCTCAAGGACATTCCAGGGCCCACCAATGGGGCGCGTATTGCAACACATTCGTGCAAATCATCAATTCTTTCGATGTGTGCAAAATATGGTGTTGAACCAGCGGCACGACGATTGCTGGGCTATCACACTGCTGGCCGAGACAAATCAATGATCATCTACAGCAGAGATGCCATGGCATGGCCGATCAGACTTATGGAAGAAATGATTGACAGCATTAATGAAAAGCGCTTTGCCCCGGATGCTTCGAGATCTGGCTACTTTCCCCAAGGCGTCGATATGCCAGAGGACTCCAAAGACGTTGAGTCGACCTCATCCTCTGGTGACAGCCGAGACGAGGAGGAAGCTGACCACAGTGGTGAGGAAGCTGCTGTCGAGAAATTCACAGGGGCTTGGGGCGACACCGGAGTGCCCGTCAACACAGAATACTTCAGGCACAAGACTTCGAGGTGTTTGCACTTCACTGCAGATGAAACTGGTCAGCTGTTTCGTTGTGGACGGATGGTGACACTGCAGTACACCAAATGTGAAGGTGTTCCTACTTTTATGCACCCTTCGTGTGCAGGATGCTTTCGACGCTGAGAGATAAAATCATATGGTGGGATGGGGTGCATAATTGCATGGATAATGCGTGAAGATTTTTGGTAGCTATATGGTTGACCTTTAATGCGTAATGCATTCTATTTCATCAAACCTGATGCATGCCGGGTGGCAACACACCATGCCAATCAAATGGTTATCAATGTGAATGCAATGTCAGCCGATGCAAGGGTGACATCAGTCGTGTATGAACACAAGCTGTTTGAACATGCCACCAATGACGGGTTTGATATGGAAACACATGCCATCATGATGCTCCTATGCAGGGGAACATGCTTCAGTGAACATGCCACTCTTTTGGAACTCATGCGAGCGAATGCTGAAGGCAAGTGTTGAAAGAGTATGCACTCCTGAGAATTTATGCTCAAGGCATCATGATTTTTGGTGACAGCTCGGCCGTTTTCGAGCAACGCTCAAAGGCGATAGGACTCGAGGCTGGAGTTGTCCAATGTTTCAAAGATGCAAATCTTGACACAACGGCGAAGTCTGCATTCGCATGCAATTTTTCTCCTGGTGGCAGCGACGACGCACCTCTGAAGGAGTTGCTTACCAAGGTTTTGGGACGTGCTGCAACACTTGTAGGGGAATCATGTTTGCGAAGGCTTTTCAACGAGTCGAATGCTACGGTAGCAGCTGACATTCGAGTTCAAACTGAACAGACAAACGAGGATTCGCTTCTTAAGCTTGCACCAGCTGACCGCGCAGCCAGGTTGGAAGAGCAACAGAAAAGGTTGACTGGCATGGATATCAAGGGACCTTATGGACCTGGGGACAGTAGTGGACAAATTTGTGAGTTTTTATGAAAGCGACAGGCTCCAGTGGATCAGTTGGGACCAATGCATCAGCAGGGAACATGAGCTTACATCCAACAACAAGAAAGACCAGAGGCTCGTTGTCCAGTCCTCAGGAGAGTTGAAAATCTCCAGTGCGAGCCGATTTGAACCATGCGACACATCATCAGAGATCTTATGCGGTATTGTTTCATCAGAAAGGCATTGGCCAAGGAACAGGCGAACATCTTGGCATACCATCACCATGATAGATGGCTTGAAAAAATCATGTCTTGCAGGCTGGAAACGGTACCACCAGGTTCCTCCAGAACCACCTTTCAGCAGATCGAGGCCTGGTTACGAAAAAGGCCAACATGACAGGCCACCCAAAGGCAGGGGTAAAGGCAAAAGGAAAAAATCAACAGAACCAGTTCATGCGCATTCCTTCGGAGTTGTTGAATTTGGGTTGCAGCGGAGCCACACCTCAGGGCAATAGGCTGTGCTTTTCTTTCAACTTGGAGAAGTGCTCAAACAGTGTTCAAAATCAGCGTTGTGAAAAGGGCCTATATGTGTGCGCCGTGAAAGGGTACCTCAAACAGCATGCGGCATTGGACTGCCCGATGCACCGCAAAGACTGAATCGAGCAAGAACGAGCGACGGCAGATGAAGCCGGAAGTTTTGAGGACACGCATCATTGGGCTTGCCCAATGTGTCTATGCGGAACTCTGCGTTGGTCGGGTGGTGGTGGGGTTGTGGAAGGTCTCTTGCCAAGTTGGAAGTTCCACTTCTAAACTTCGTTCCTTTCGGTCCAGTTGGACATTCTTGCAATTCACTGGCAACGTTTATTTCTTCAGGCTGATGACGTTTCAATTTGGATATCTTGGATTTTCAGTTTTCGAATTGGCAGTTGCTTTCCAGTGCGTTGAGTTCTTTTCAGTCGCTGCTTCATTTTCGATGTGTTGATTTTCTGTGCTGTCATGTTCACAGTTTGATTTGATCTGCTCCTGAATGTCTCGAAAGTTCATGGTTTTACGATTCAAGTTTATTTTCAGTGATGTGGCATTTCGACAAATTCTTGCAGGTTCACTCAAACATTGCGTTGTCACTTCATTGGAGTTCAAGCTCATTACGTATTCTCTGAAGCTCTGGCTTTGAAATTTTCTGAAGGTAGTGGGGCGCTTTGCCTTTCCAACAAATGGTTGGACGTAGGTAGGTGGGGAGCCGGCTCCGGCGCCATGGAAGAGTGGTGGCCCAATTTGGATGAAGGGATTCTTTCTCATTTGCAGCGCGTTTTCGTGACTCCTCTTCGTTTAGATGCTGCTTTTGACTATGATGAAGAAATTGCCATTTTACTCGAATCTGAATTCCCTGACATTCTTCCTGAAGATGTGCTGGATTCAGTTGCAGTCTTGTCACAGTGGAAGGAGGAGATGGCCAGGCCTTTGAAGCGCGCACGTGCAGAGGTCGTGAGAGGCGCGTTGTTTCGGCTGCCATTGCATGGGCAACTCACTGTGCAGGAAGAATTTTCCAGGCTCACCCGTACAAGTGCAATTTGCATACTTGAGATGCATGTCAAACAGAAGCAGAAGAGATACAGAGAAGATCCTGCTGATGCTCGGACAAAGAGGTATGAATCGGAGTGCAGGAAGTACTCGAATTTGCTGGCTCAGATCATCATCCAAGCCGGGCTCCCTATCGCTGAGCTTGTGAGAACGCTGGAGGACCCTCGGAGTGGCTGGTTGCATTTGTTTGCTGCAAGGCGTGGGAACACCCTGAAGAATAGGTACAAAGTTTGGAAGCCATTTGAACAGTGGTTGGAATGGAACCGTGGGTACCTTTATCCCAAAGGGGTCAGGGATGCCATCGACTATTTGCAGCATAGAGTGGATGACGGTTGTGGGAAGACAGTTCCGCAATCATTGCATGCGGCCATTTCTTTGATCGAACAGCTCGGGAGAGTCCCCAGCGATGTCAGGATCTCAGAGGATCCATTGTGGATTGGACACATCAAGTCCTGGGCGGCGGAGTTGGCAGAAGATGCAGCACCCAGGAAGCCTGCTGAGATGTATACAGTTGCAATGTTGATTTCTTTGGAGCTGACCATTGTCGACGAAGCTGAACAGCTGTACACCCGTGCACTCTCCTGGATTGTTTTGTGCATGGTCTGGGGGGCGATGAGATGTGATGACATGCAATCCGCATTGCCTCACAGGTCTATTTTATCCAACTTTGGATTGCGTTTGGTTTTGGGGCGCTCGAAAACAACAGGCCCCGATAAGCCCCAGAAGGAGGTGTCGGTCCACGTGCTGAGGACCACTTCGTTGACTGGGGAGGATTGGCTGAAGGTGGGTTTTGACATTTGGTCTGCAGACCCTTTCAATTACAAGCGTGATTACATGGTGATGGAGCCCAACAAAGGATGGGATGGAGTGAAAAGGAAGTTCTTGGCCCCTGCTGGACTGAGCAGTGCAGTCTCCAAGCTCCTTGGAGGCCTTGCAGTCCCGCGGAGAACCGCCCTGGGCTGGGAACTGATGCCGGCCCAGCATTTGCTGCCGGATGGGCTTGAGTCATTTTTCAGTGGGCACAGTCCACGGAACTTTGTGACTTCGGTGGCTGCAGCCTTGGGTTTTTCCAAGGACGAGCGGGCATACCTTGGAAGATGGAGCATGGGGATGGTGTCCTCTGAGGAGTATGTGCGCACCTCCCGTCAGGTGATTTTCAAGATCCAGAAGACCGTCAACAAGTCCCTGGTCGATGGATCAGGGGACCCATTTTACGAAGATGAGACCATTGGCAAGCTTTGTGAGTTTGCCTCAGCATCTGGGGCAAAGCCCAATCGAATTAAAAAGAGGCACTCAGTGCTGGTGTATGGAGTACCTGGTGGATCTCCTTGTCTTGGTGGAGTGTACCCAACGCTTCAGGTGTTGCCGGAAGATTGGGATGAGAATGATGACGGAGACGGCACTGAGATGGACCTGGCAGAAAAGGTCGCTTCGCATGCTGCAAAGGAGGCATTGGCATCACAGCATTTGGGGAAGTATTTCATTACCATTTCTCGGAGGACAGCGCTCCGACGGTTGCACATGGCTGGATGTTTTGTGAAGCCCGATCGGTGCTGTGAAGTTTCTTTCATGGATGAGGTCCAGCAGGACTCTTTTGATGCAATCTGTCAGGCTTGCAAGAAGAGGATGCTGGCTGAGTGTGGAAAGGACACGCCAGAGATGTCCACATCCACGGCATCGTCTTCTTCGACGGCGTCAGTGCTCAGCGCCGGCGGTCAGCCAGTTGGAGAGAGTTAGAACGCTTGCTTTGTTTCATTCAGGTTGCCCCTCTCTGGCTTCCAATTTGGCTCAGATGGGCCATTGATCCAGTCGGCATTCTTCCGTGGTGAGGAAAAACAGTGGCGGCTGTAGGTGTCAATCGTTTTCAGTTGAGACTGTCTTGATAATTTGACACTTCAGTTTGCCATTCTGTCATTTCAGTTGCAACCGCGTTTAGACGTGGTGAATTGTCATGGACTTGTATGTCCTTGCACATGGCTCAGACCTAAGGGTGCCATCCAGGTTCAACAAGCACGTTAAGACGGGCTGTTTCATGTGCATTCCATTTTTCAATTATTGGTCTCTTTTTGCTTTTTCCTCAGCTTGTGCATTCATTCCAGTTTCAACTGTCAGGGCTAATTGGATTCAGGTTTCAGTTGTTAGGCTTGGACCTCAATCGGCGTTTTAATGTCGCTTTTGCAGTTGGTTGTTGCACATGGTAGGATCCTTCAACTGCTCTAGGGCCTCCTGTCACGGTCGCAATGGACCCTGCTGCTCAGAGGGAGTTTGTCAAGGATCACATGGATTCAGATCTGCAGTTCATACTTGGTGACAGCGGTGTTTCCCTGCTTAATCAGGTTGCAATTGCGAGGCACTACGGAACACTCAGGAAGTTCAACGCGTTGGGGGACGACAGAGCAGCGATTAGAACAGCTTGTTTGCAAGATTTTGCCATCAGTCCTGATAGCCCTGAAAGCAGGTCACAGATTGCTTCAATCGTTTCTTCTTGGGAGACAGCGAAAGAGTATCTTGCAAAAGAACTGGAACTGAGAGCGGAGGCCAAGGTGCTTGGACAACCTAGGATTCTCCAGATCCACGAACGTCAGGCGATGCTGAGGGCTGTCGAGGCCTTACATGGGTCTTTGGGGGATTCAGAATGTCCGGCTGCAGACTATTTGAGTTTGAAGGCAGAAGAAACAGAGGCAAACGAACCCACTGCCTCGCCATTAGATGAGATCATCAGCAAGCTTGCTTCAGCGAGCTCCTCCATTCAATCAACTGTTGATGGCACAGGCCATATACGGGTTACACGTACCAAGACGAAGTCGAAGATGCCATCTACGACTGAAGAATACCGTAAGGTGATGAAAGTTGAGATGTTCTCATGGTTGGCAATGGCATCAAGGTACAAATCAAAGCACTGGCTTCATGGACTCACTGCAGATCCTTTCTTGAAGTTTGTTGAGTATGTGTTGGGAGATCGGGTGTACGGTATCCAGATACCAACATCGGAAGGGGCACAACAGAAGCTCCGCCCTGACTGGGCAATTGTGCTGGCCTATGAGCAGAAACTCCGGAAGGAGGCTATGAGGCGAGTTATGGAGGGCCACACACTTGCCGACGCTCTCAACTCAGTAATCAAAGATGCAGACTTGAAAGAAGCTTATTTCACAACCCCTGTTGCTTTGAAGGCCTCACTGAGTGACGCACAACCCAACAAATGGCAGAGGTTCAATTCAAAGGGTTCTTTCAGCGGCAAGTCTTCTCCAAGTTTTGCCAAAGGCAAAGGGAAGGGCAAGGGAAAATCCAAGTCCTCGAATCAGGCTGACAGTCGTTTGAAAGGGCTCAATTTGGCTTGGCGTACACCTGACAACAGGGAATTATGCTTCGCGTGGAACTCAGGGGATTGCCCAGGCACTTGTGGAAGAGTTCATCAATGTCGTGTCAAGGGCTGCTATGCTGATCATAAAGCGATAGAGCACAAGCAGAAGAAGGACTCTTGACAGAAAACAGGTGCAGCTGTTGTTGACTCCGCTGCACCAACAACTCCTAGTTGCAAGGCGCCTCCATCAGAGGTCCCATGCGTCAAGGTGATGTATCTTTTCGCAGGGGCAAGGCGCCACTCAGATGTTGCAGCTTGCCTGAGGCAAGCCGAGGCCTCAGGGAAGATCAAGTTAATTCTCAAAGAATTTGACATTGAGCGTTCCCCTGACCATGATCTCACCAATGTTGCTTTGTGGACCGAGATTCTTGAAACTCTTGATGAGGGTTCCTGGTTCATCATTGTGTCACCGCCCTGCAACACTTTCAGCAGGGCAAGGTTTCAACGGCGCCATCCAGGCCCGAGACCAGTGCGAACGAAGGCATGGCCCAGGGGATTTCCATGGTTGAGCAATGCAAACAAACAGAAGGTTGCCGAAGCAAATTTTTTCGTTGATAAATGTATTGAAGCCTGCGAGCGTGCTGCCAACTCCAATGGGTTTTTCATTTTGGAACATCCAGAAGATTTGGGAGTTGTTGATGATGAGCATCCTGGCTCTATTTGGCAGTGGCCAGAAATTTTGGAACTCATTCCCAAATGCAATGCTTGTTGTTTTGGGATCCATCAATGTAGGTTTGGGGCCATTACACCCAAGCCGACACGTTTGTTGACCAATTTGCAAGTGTCTGATTCTCGCTGTCACATGTCGCTGCCAAAATTTGATCGGTCTGGTTTTTACAAAGGGCCACTGCCACGGAAATGTGGCCACCGTCATTCACATACTTTGATTGGAAAGACTGGCGCTAGATGGAACACAAGCCCAAGTGCAGCATACCCGCCACAGATGTGTCAATTTCTTGCTAATTTGATTCTCCATGCAGCAGCATCCTTCGGTGGGGGGAAGGAGAAGTCAAATCACAGAGGTACTAAAAGAGTTTCTACAGCCCCTTTACCAGCTGCGAAGGCCTTGAAATCACAAGCTGGGCAAGTGCACAACTCGCCTCATGAGGTGCACTTGGTACAGGACTCTGATGAGGAGGAGACCACACAGTGTGATGGTACCGCTGCCACAGTTGAAACAACAGGCGGTGGGGGCAGTACAGTACAGGCAGATACAACCACTGGCACTTCACATGTTTCTGGCGATTCATCAGGTTTTGCATCAACCACCGGCATTTCACAGGTTTCTGGTGAGTCACCGGGTTTTGATATGAGGGCATGCTTGAATGCTGGGGCACCTATACAGGTTGAATGGGATGGTGCTACACGTGGCTTCATCGATGGGTTTGGGCTCTGCAGTCCAACGAGATGGAAGCCGAGACAACGGGGAGTGCATAGGACCCCAGCGATGGTCCAACTTGCTGCTGACACTTTTGACATCCTTGCAGAATGTGTTGATGAGTGCATTGCAGATGTACGTAAGGAATCATTTCGATTGGTAACTGGCAAGATTCAGCAATCACCTTTTGGAGAAGAAGCTTTGAGGAAGTTGAGGGAGAAATGGGCAAATCTACTACGTGATCCTGCTGAGGCAAAGGTTGCGGACTCTGGCCAGCCTTTCTACTTGAGAGCTCTGGCACAATGGTTGGGCGTCTATGAGGACCCAGATGCACATTGGCTGGTTGACGAGTCAGATTCTTTTGCTTCTGGGGTTTACATTGGAGTGGATCAGCCATTGCCGAGATCACCACAAGTTTTTCCGGAGAAAGACAAACACCGCAAACTGGATGACACTGAATTTTCTCCCATTGCAGATAATTATCCGTCGGCACAGATTTCGGCAGTAGAGCTTGAGAAGAAGTTCAGAGAAGAGGAAGCCCTAGGGCGCATGCATCCCTCGAAATTGGGGGTACTCAAGCAGGAGTTTGGTGACAAGCTTCGGGTGGCTTCGATGGCTGCGATTTCAAAGCCTGATGGGTCGGTCAGGCCATTGCATGACGCCACTCATTCTGTCATGGTTAATCACGAGATAAAGTACCAGGACAAGATCATTTGCCCCGGCCCATCTGAGATTGCTGGAGTGGTCAGGGAGTCCGCAGGGCCTTTTGGTGCAAATGCACCGCTTGTTGCGACGAATTTGCTGTGGTGGCGTGAGACAGCACCACCTGGAGTCAAAAAGACCGCATCCATCATGTCCACTATTCCACATTTGCATCAGTTGCAGTTTCAGTTTACACATGTGTTCATTTTCCAGCTGGGTCTGAATTGTGCGGTTGCAAATTTCATTTTGATGTCGTTGGATTCGAAGAGTTGGCATTTCTCATTTTACGTTTCGTTTTGGCGCTGACGTTTTGCGATCTGGCATTTCTCTTGAGACCCTCACTACTCTACCAACGTAGTGTAAAGCGTAGGCATCATTGGGCTTGCCCAATGTGTCTATGCGGAACTCTGCGTTGGTCGGGTGGTGGTGGGGTTGTGGAAGGTCTCTTGCCAAGTTGGAAGTTCCACTTCTAAACTTCCTTCCTTTCGGTCCAGTTGGACATTCTTGCAATTCACTGGCAACGTTTATTTCTTCAGGCTGATGACGTTTCAATTTGGATATCTTGGATTTTCAGTTTTCGAATTGGCAGTTGCTTTCCAGTGCGTTGAGTTCTTTTCAGTCGCTGCTTCATTTTCGATGTGTTGATTTTCTGTGCTGTCATGTTCACAGTTTGATTTGATCTGCTCCTGAATGTCTCGACAGTTCATGGTTTTACGATTCAAGTTTATTTTCAGTGATGTGGCATTTCGACAAATTCTTGCAGGTTCACTCAAACATTGCGTTGTCACTTCATTGGAGTTCAAGCTCATTACGTATTCTCTGAAGCTCTGGCTTTGAAATTTTCTGAAGGCCCACCACTCCCACCGCTTTTGTCTGGTGAATTGGATCGAAATGCCACTTCCGCTCACGCTACAGCAACTCTTTGGCATTTTGTAGCCTGTCCCTGGTATGACTTTGATTCAGTCAATGCAGGGATACAACAAAGGGGGGTACAACAGATTCAATGCAATTTTTCCTGGAAGGACAGCAGTCCTATGCTTTTGTGCTTGGCAGCTTTCTCAATGTTGATGGATGGAAAACGGCCGCAGGGCCTTTTGGTGCAAATGCACCGCTTGTTGCGACGAATTTGCTGTGGTGGCGTGAGACAGCACCACCTGGAGTCAAAAAGACCGCATCCATCATGTCCACTATTCCACATTTGCATCAGTTGCAGTTTCAGTTTACACATGTGTTCATTTTCCAGCTGGGTCTGAATTGTGCGGTTGCAAATTTCATTTTGATGTCGTTGGATTCGAAGAGTTGGCATTTCTCATTTTACGTTTCGTTTTGGCGCTGACGTTTTGCGATCTGGCATTTCTCTTGAGACCCTCACTACTCTACCAACGTAGTGTAAAGCGTAGCAATTTGGAGTCCGACAGCAATTCACTGAAGTGGAACATGCAGACCAATTTTTCCAATTTTCAGCATGGCAACGAAGATTGCCGCCACAAGGGTTGCGACAGTGCGCACCATGGGGGGATGAATTTCGAGGCCTTGTTGAAGGATGGAAACAAGAACAGAATCCGCTTTTCATTGAACTATGATCAGGCTGCGGAAGTCTTGTCAGCCACCATCAATGCCTGGGTTTTGATGTGATGCCAGTGGACCACAAGCACGACAAGCACCGGATCCACATCAAGACCTTCAACTGGATCTCACCGAACAACAGCTGGGATATCCTGAAATATATTGTTAACCAATGCAATGTGATTGGGGCGCATTTGGCAACCCCCTGGGAACGTGTCCAAGAGCAAGGGAGATAAAGCTGTCTGAAACTTGGCACGGGCCACAACCTCTCCGAAACCAGGCATTCCCATACGGAGTGCCCGACATGAGCTCAAAAGGCAGAACACGGGTCAAACAGGCCAATGCTCGTATATGCACATGTGTGATTTTCGCAACTTTCTGAATAACAGGGGAATCGCGTGGACTATGGAGAATCCTACAAACAGTTGGCTTTGGGAGCTGCCGTGCATCGAATTTTTGATGAGCCATATGTTTTTCACCACATTTCACTCATGCGCCTATGGAGGCAAACGGCTCAAGTCCACGAGCTTCTTCACCAACAACCCTGTTTTCCTGGTGTTGTGCTTGCAGTGTGATGGACAACATGAGCACTTACCATGGGGCACTGATATGGAGACGCAACAGTTTCCAACAGCCTTGGAGGCTGAATATCCCAAACGTTTGTGCGAAGACTATGCCACAATCTTGCTTGACCTAGGCCAGAGCCAAGGGTTGCAGATCACTCCATACCCCAAAGCCGGTGACAAAATGCATCCACTGAAGCAACACGCTAGACGGTCCTTACCACCACTTGTGCCAGAATATGCCAAGGTATTTCCATGCTCCTCACCGACAAGTCCAATATAGACTTAAAGCACAAGCTATTGAACCAGCTGCCCAACATTCCGATAGGCAGCAAACTCCTGCGGACTGAAGCGAAAGGGGGCGAGAGGGCAAGGAATATGTCATGTATGTTTTTGGTGTTTTTTATGAGATTGAACACCTCGTTTCAATTTCAAAATCACTCTGGCACCCCTTTGATGAGCTGAGACACCTTCCCGACTATTTGACGAGAGCCAGTTTCAATGTGCTGAACAACTGGCAGCTGAATTGCTGGGACGGCCGGACAAGTTTTGTTCAAAGATTTATGCAACGGGTTCAAGCTGGTAGGCGAGGCACCAGCCACTGGAGCTTGCAAGATACAGCCCAAAGTAGGCAGCATCAGCGAAACAGAACTTATGATGCAGAGCAAATGTTTGAGACCGGCTATCATTGGCAAGATCAACTCACCTGCAAAGACTGAACACGAAGCTGAGCTGTACGACATCACGGTCAAAGAAGCACGTGAAAAAGGCTGGCTCCATGGACCATTAGAATTTCAAGGAGTGTGCGACATTCTGGGAAACCAATGGTTGCCGGTCAGACGATTCTGCGTCGATCAACGGGGCAAACTGCGTCCCATTGACGGTTTTGTGAAAAACAGACTGATCCAGGCA